CCCCAAAACCCCAAAACCCCAAAACCCCTTATTATCTTGGGGAGATTGACTTTGATTTATTCTATTTTAAGCGTAAGTGTGGAAATCTTGAAAGGTCTAAGAGATATCTGAATCTTGTTTTAGTTGAAGGAGTATAAACTACTATCAGAGTCTTCTTACTCATCTTCGAAGATATAAACAACAGATATTGAACTGATCTTCTTGTTAATCTTTTCTAATAAAGTTAGACAAATTTTGCAATCAGTTGATGATCCAAACGCTTCATGAACTCTTATAACAAATTGGTTTGCATCATCCTTGCTAATTTTAAATCATCAAGAATTACATTAGTTTCATCTATTTCAATGAAACTATCAGATTGGCAATCTTCAAGTTTATTCGGCAAATAATTTTTTAATGGAAAATTTAGGGAGAATCCTTCCTTGCTCACATCACTTAACTCATTACCTTTATGTGAATATAAAGAATACGTAAATTCATGAAGCCCAATATCTGCTTTAGTGTATGGCCATTTAGGTGATCTAATGAGCGACATTCCCAGTGTATTTCTTTTACAAGAGTATCCATATTTTCAATCATCAAGTAGGGCGACTCCAAAGCCCGTCTCACTAATATCAGCAAATTTATGCCATCAAAATTCATACTGGGCTAGATCCCACAGAGCATTATTGTGAGAGGATCTTAGAGGAACTCCGTTCTGGATATCATAGCTAACACAGTCTGAAAGGAAGTCAACACGAAAATAGACTCTTAACATCTTCCTGTTTTCATCCCAATCTACTGAATTATGAAAGTCATTTCTTTGGAAATCTACGTAAAAGATGACAAGTTGGACCATCTTGGATTTCTCAGAGATATCATACTCATATCTTATCAAGATAAAGTACCTTGAGGTTTCTATAACCACAGTTTTGGAAGGATCATCAAGAATATCTCTGTAGGTGTATCTTGACGTATCAAAAATATCCCATGAGTCATAAAATACAGGAATGTCGTCATGAAGTCTAAGAATATTTATAGCCTGTGAATTCTGGCATACAACTTGTTTGGGTCAAACTTCTTAATAGTCTTGTCAATATAATTTGATACTCTTCAGTCTTTGCTGATAGTTATTTGGTACAGTCTGCTTTTAATATAAAATAGTTGCTTTTAAGGGCTTAACATTATTTTATTAAGTCAATTTCGAACTTAGACAATCTTGTAAGAGATTTATCAGCATAAGTCAGATCTGTTTGATTGATCAATGAAGAGGGAATACTTTTGGATGGTAAATCTATTATGTCATTGGTATCGTTCAAATTAATTAGAGTATCAATGGTACTGACCTAATTAATGCTTATCTATTTTCACTTCTTGTTCTGTAGAACCTGTTCAAATTTTAATCCTTCCTTCTACTCTTTTAGCATCAGGTTTACAATTTTCATCAAAAGTTTTGGATAAGTCTTCTGATGTGATGGAGGCATATCAATTCTCAGGAACTTCAATGTAGCCCCTAAGATCTTTATCCCCATTAGAAATAATGACTATCTCTCTTCTAAGCTTGTTTTGTCTATTAAAAGAAACATAGTATGCACTATCACTATGATTATCCTCTTAAGAAAATCTGTTATAACTATATCTTTCCAACCCCCTTCAATTACCCAACCTCCATCCAATCCAATAACAATCTAATCCAACCGATCTATTATAGAACCCACTAATCCAACTCATCATTCCCAATATTTCTTAATACCCTCCATCCCAAAACCTCTACCCTCCCAACACCCCACTTTCTCCTCCCCCTCTTCCTCCTAAACTTCCTTCCTCATAATGCACCCTCATACCTCTACCTCACTTGCTCTCTTCCTAAATTTGGCCTAAAAGTTCAAGAAATTACAGCTAAATTTTGGATTTTGTTTTAGAATGGGGTGGGCGAAGGGCAGGAGGTAGAGTTGGGGAGTTGGGGGATGAGTGGAGGTTTTGGGGGTTGGAGAGGGGTTCTTTTGGGTGGAGTTTGGAGTGGGTGTTAAGATGGGATAGAGGAGAGTGGTTTTGGGGATTTGAGGAAGTGCTATCTTTACTTCCGGAAGACCCTGAAGGTTTTCAAATCTAAACAAGGAGCTTATGTTATTTCTCAGGTCCCCCTCTATCTCCTTCTCCAAATAATAGGGGAAATTGGTTGCTTCTTTATTCTTAAAATTGCTTTGGCTTTTCAATATATCACCAAGTTTATCATCAGAATTAAAGTCATTGGCTGGAGGAAAATGAGCAAAAACTTCTGAACCATCAAGTCCATTCCACTAGTAAGTATTATGAAGAAATTTGTTGTATTGATTCCAAGACAATTTCTGAGTTACAAACCAGTGTATCCTTGCTTCATTCGTTATCTGAGGTATCTGAGCGCTATACCCAAAGATATCTGACATGTAAAAGCTATTTAAAATAACTCCAGAAGTTTTCCTTGAAGAATCTTAGGCCATACATGAACTGTCTGTACATGCTTTCTCCAGATGGGACTTTGCCGTCAAATTCGACCCAGGAACCTCCTACCATTTTGAATCTTCCTTGTGCTGCTTCATCTCGGATTCTTTTAAAAAGTTTTAGATGATCTTGCTTCAAGAATTCATAATGATGAGCGCTGGATGCTCAGAAATTAAAATTTGAATTAAGCTCCATCATTTTTAGCTGGGTCGATCAAGACCTTGATCACTTCCTTCGAGTTTCTCTGAATGGCCATGTCATGCAGTGTCTATATGGCAATATCCCATTGCATGAACCTGATCATGGTCCTTCTGAGATAAGAACTTTTGAGGAATCTTTCTGGCTTTCTTCCATCAGGGTCTTCAAGCTCATCTGATGTAAGAAAGATATCAGCCATTTGATTGTCGATTCCTAATGTAAGGCCTCCATATTATGTATTCTCACTCATGAGTTTTCTGATATCTCAAATAGCAAAATTGGTCTTTCTTCTTTGGTAAGATTTGTCTAAAACATAATAGTTCCTGCTTGTAGCACTAAAGACTTGAAGGTACTGTCCTGTATTATAATCATACACAGATGCTTCTCAGCCAGAGTCCCAAATGAGGTGGAACTCATCTTCTGGAGCTACGAGGTCACTCCACTCTGTATGAAAGGTAAATTCTATAAAGAACCAATGCGTAGTCCGTGACTTTCCAAACTTATCTCCTTTATGTGTAGATTTTGCTTCATTTCTCATACTTTTGGCTTGATCAAAAATGATGATTCCTGTATCTTTGAGAACTCTAATATTTTCAATATCAATAGTTCTTCTATAGAGCTGATCACAGAGAGAAATCTTATCCCTAACTGGATAGTTAGACTTTACAGTTAGTAGTCTGAGACCGGTGATATTTGCCTCTTTTTTGGATCATCCGATGCTTCATCGTTAACATTTTAATTGTATCTTTATATCAATAATCTTTGAGTATAAAGGGGTTTTGGGGTTTTGGGGTTTTGGGG